CATATGATTCATAAAAAAAATTAAAACTAAAATACTCTGAGGCATTAGATCTAGATCAAACAGTTAGTGTCTCACTTGATCTAAATTAGACGGCTCGATGGTGGGGAAATATACAATAGGGGAGGTATTAAAAGCTTTCTGTGGAGTAAAATCTAGAAAAAATTTAAAACTACCGGTATCAATTTATCATAGACAAAATTTGTTGATTCAAGTTTGAGCTCTGTAAAGAATGCCAAGTGAAAGAATTTGCTTATGCCGGACTCTGACTCACCTTTAATAGCAAAGACGGTCGGTCTTGCATAATAACTTATGTCAATCATTTTATTAAACCATGTAGTTCTAATTAAAGCCAATATTTACCATTGGTGCATATTGGCATGGACCATGTAGAGCTATGGATAAATTAGATGTTGCATCAATGTTCCCTAAATATAAAGTAAGATGTTGCATCAATAGTTCTTGGATGGATACATGGACCAATCAATCTGGCATAGTAAGAAATATGTATACAAATTGGTTTATGGGGAATAAGGCCCAAAAAATTGTACTCCAAACTTGGAATACTCCCTTATCCCACCGTCCATACTGAATGATTATATTTATACTTGTCCAAAACATAAAAAAAAGAAAAATGTGTAAAACTTCAAAATTTTCGGTTTGGAATCATGCCATTGCAAGAGCTTTTATGCATCAAATTCTCAAGAAAGAAATCTTGTGACCAGAGGATCCCATATGTATCATACCGTTTGTTAGTGTTACAAGAAGGTCATAATCATACTCATCATAAAATCAACTACTCCGAAGTATGCTTATTGTTTTTTACCATGTTTGAAGTCTAAGAACATTTTTCACATTGCTTGCTACTCAATTTCACATCTGACAGTTTAGCACTTTGATCCATGTAGATAAGTCTGTAAATTCTTGGCTTTTCTTTCATAGGCAAAAATAAAAAAAAAAACCTAAAACTTCCATTGTTAATTTGAACATCTAAAGCCCATCTAATCCCCTGGGCATGATTCCAAATAAACATATGACTATTTACTAAAGTCTTGGATTTGAATCATTGGATTCTCTTTGGGTTCTGACTCCTAACACATGCAACCAACATAAAACTATGTTCAAAATATATGCAACTCTATGATACCGTCGGCAGGCTACTGCCAAAAGATCTTTTTATGACAGCACAAGTTTGGTACAAGGTACCAACTTCTTCAATCCACTTCTCAGTCCTTTAAAATTTCATTCAATGTGGGTTGGAAAGTAGTGGGGGATGGTTGGAGGTTAGACCATCCCAAAGCATACCTAATTGTTAAAGAGGCTCAAATTGGGGCTCTGTTAACAGAATGCATTAGGGTTTGACTCTTGCTCAGTGGTTATTGTATAACAACAATATGGTGTTGAGCTTGAATTCAAAGTTCCCCAACTTATAAATAGGGATGACCAATATAGTGGTCTGTTAAAAAAAAAGGGAAAGAAAAAGTACTTTTTTTTTTTAATAAGAGAAATTTATGAAAATACAACTAAAACATCAATTATTTAACATTTTATGTACTTTTTATGTACCATCAACTGTTCTAGCGCGCATTCTTGTGTTTTTCTTAGGAAACAAAAAAAAATAATGATGTATACAATGAGACAATTTACTTTTGACACATGGATGTCACAATCATCATTGACCGTTAGGTTTAATGATTGCAGACCCGCTAACAAAGGGGTTTGCTACAAATATTTTTGTAAAACATATGAGAGAGATGGGGTTAAGAGAATGTAAGGAAGAGAAATTGTAAAGCATTCGAAGGCCATGTGGGAGAATGTTGGGTAAATGTGGTCATTAAAGGCTTTATGAGAGCTTGTAATAAGAGTTTTATGGAACTTAAACTGAGTGGGAGTGTGATCTTATGTGGATCATGCAATGCAAATGTTATTTTGCCATAACTCATACTAGGGTTTGTGTGCTAGGCCAGTCTAGTTAGAAAACCCTTGATTCCTAGGCATGGAATAAACACCGATGAGGGTTAATGGGTTATCCCTTGATGAGATCGGAGTTGCCCAGATGAATGAACCAAGGGACTATGTGACCCTTATGTGTGATGGTTGGTCTTTAGAGACAAGTATCAAAAGCCTCATTTCTAATCCATCACACGACATATACATATGAAGTCCGTATTGGGAAAACAGTTCGCCATTGAGAGTGATGCATTCACATGTACGAAATATTACCCCTATGCACTTTAGAGCTATGTTTACATCAGGTTTGAACTGTAGGTGATGGGTACTACTGGGTCAGTTTGAAAAAGTAAGTGTGGATTAGGGTCCACAATAGAAGATTGAGTGCTTCATAATTATTATTTCCAAGACCTTAAGGATCATATTTCCATCAAATTTATTTTCTTAGATATAGATTAATTTTAGAATAATTATTTTAAGATTTTAAATAATTTATTTTATTTCTATTGTTTGTAAAATATATTTATTAAAAATAAATTAACAAGTTTATGAAATTATAGGTGAGATACCTTCAACCATAGTGTCATAAGTAAGCATTGACTATATGATCTAGAAGAGTTTTACACTTAATTAGTATTAATATAGTGATATCAAAAACTCAAAAAAGGGTAAAGGATAGATCCGAAAGAACATGGTCGGAAGTAGTAAAAAACATATAGAGACTTATGGCCTTACTGAAGGTATGGCCTTTGATAGAACATAATGGACGGATCAATAGCCATTTAAAATAATTGAAAAAAGACTATGATAATAGTAATATCAGCAAGATAGCGATTTGAGAAGAAATAGAAAGATTTAGACAATGTTGTTCCCTAACCACTGAGCAAATAGGCTCGAGTCAAGATTGAAAGAGTTGTGATACAAGAATATTAAGGATTCTCTTTTGAGGCTCCCACCAATAGAACAAAAATGGTGGCGATTGATTATGGTATTAATATGATTTTGTACCCTTGAAAATTAAAGATGCGATAGACTATCTCCCTTTCTCTTAAAGGTCTTTCCTACTACTGTAAATGAAGTTTTTGAACATTAAATGAAGTTTTGGAAGAAGCAAGCGAATAGCTCATAAAGGGCAATGTAATCCCTATATTGTGGAGAGAAGTAGCTGTGGGTGTTTGTCAAGAAAGAGACATGAGAAACAATGGGGAGAACAAATTTATGAGGTAGTTGAAGGAATGAGGTTTGGTGGGTGCTTACATAATTGCATTGGAAACCTTTTCCATAATCATGGATTCTGAATATCGGAATCTCACTAATTCTTATTATGTATATACACTTAACGAAATGTGAAATATGTGAATACAACGAGAAAATAGTTACGAGAAACAAATAAAAATAAAAACCTACTATAATGAAATAAGATTTATGTGGTTCATCCTATTGGGGCAATGTCTATAAATTTAGCTAGTGGAAAGCTACTATCTATAAAAACTATGGCTTTTAGTTGCATTTTACCCAAAGACCGTGACACCCCCTGTCTTTCTAAGAAAACATATGAGTGGTGATTGTGGCTATTAACAAATATGAAAATCTTCTTTGCCTTGCCGACCTCCAATCGATAGTTTTTAAAGTTTTATATCCCTTGCTAAATAAAACTATTATAAATATTTTTACAAACATTTCGTTTCCATCTTTCTCCACTTCACACCATGTATTGTTCTCTATCCAAAAATAAACTTTAGCCCCATACGTATACACCATGTGCTTTGATACCAATTGAAAGTTCCTAAAAAAAACTCCTCTATTGCAGAACTATCCTAAATACAAAAACACTACCCAAGATCATGTATATATTCAACTAAATTCAAAATATGCAAATACAACAAGAAAACAGGTGCAGTTAATACAATAAGAAGAAAAAACACACAATAATACAAGATTTACATGCGTCATGTCTACATCCACTGGTAAGTTGAATCCCTCTCATTGAATATTATACTTTCGGTTAATAAGAGATGTATCTCTCCGTAAATATTGTCAATGCCCTTTGCCGGTTTAAAATTCACTTTCCATATTGAACATCAAAAATCAATCTACCTCTTTTATACCACTATCATCATCATTATCATCATAGTATTTTCTCAATTAATTGGGGTCGGCTTTCATATTACTATACCACGACTAAAACAACAATATTGAGACACTCTCGGTAGAAGTAAAAAGCAAATCAACCCAAAATCCCCATTAGAACATCTAGATATTGTTTGTGTTATTGATCCCCACTTGCTAGAATTTCTTGCTTACTCCTAAGAAACCTTGTATTGTTTTTTACCCAACACCCCTTGACCCCAAAACCTAAGAACTTAATCCTAATTATACCCTAGTCCGATGTCTTTAACCTTAAATTCCTAAATTCCATAGAGAAAGAACCTAGTTTAACCTAGAACATCGTTGTGGACTATATAATCAAAATAATCCATAGCATACCTTGTACCATCATGCCCTGTACTTTCTAGACCACTAATAAACCCTAAAAAAATCCCAAACAAGTTCCTACCTTAAACCAAAGCTAAACCTAAGAGAACCTTCCATCCTAGAAAATGAATCAAAATAAGCGTCATCCATCCTATAAAAATGAATCTCTCTCTTTTTCCACTGAGAAACGAGTCCTCCCTATTAGGATCTGACTGTGTGACATTCTAAAAATTCTAAAGCCATCACCGTTTTGTGAACTCTCTGGATCTAGAATCGGTCTAGATTGACCAAGTTTTTAGTTGGAATTGGACATTGGTCTGGGTTCTGTAGCATCAGGAAATTGGGTAATCCGGAGGCAAGATCGATGGTTCCCAAATATTATATTCGTATTATTTTTCTTTTTGAAAATTTTTGCATTTTTGTGGACTGATTTTCACACTAGAGAATTAACTCAATTCACTGATCCAGATCGGTAATTTACTGAAGAAGATCAATTTTTTAAGACAAAGACATACATGGCTCAAGCCCAATCCAATTCAAAAAAAAAATTGAACCTCCAATTACAAATTACAAATAAAGGAATTCCCTAAAGATCAGCGTTGCCTTATTTTTACAGATTACAAATAAATGAATTCCCTAAATATGAGCTTTGCACTATTTCGCAAATAGCCCTGAAAAAAAGAAAAGTAAAAGAAAAATTAATTATATACTATAAAACTATTTACTTTTAGAACATAAGAGTTCACAATCACTAATAGCCATCGGATGTAAAATCCAACGGCTTGGAGTGTGTCCTAAACTTCAAAAAACTTTCGTTAGAACTTTAAATCTAGTCACTGAGTTACTTAATGTCACATATGACAGCTATGACTAATTGTGACCAATGTCATCAAATTCGCTTCGGCCTCAGATTTTAAGCATAAATCGAAACGAAGAGAAACGTGGTGCTGCTGCTTTTGCTTTAATTTTCTCACTAAGCCGAAGAAGATTCTGACGCAAATCTTGACATTGACTATAACCTCCTTGTACCAAATATAAATGTTCTCGTAATATATTTTTCCGAAAAATGTTCAGTAGTCCGTACGACATTTTTTATCTATCTTCTTAGCGAGAAGCTTCCTTGCCCTGTTAATCGTAAAAAAAGATAGATACAAATGCTCTTCCAGCTCATCAAGCTGCTCACTAAAGCTCCGCTCACTCCTCGTAACCTGGCGAGCCACCTCTCTCACCGCCTCAATCAGCCGCTTACCGAGCCGAACCGAGACAAACCGAGCCAAAACCCTAAGGTGATCCACCTCATCTCTAACTTTAGCTACGAGCCGGCTAATGGTGTCCAACTCTCGGCTCACAATGTAAGCCCCTTTGGCTGCGGCATCGATCCGAGCCCAATCCCATACCAGACGACGAGGTGTCCAGGACGACCCAAGCCATGAGCAGAGTCTGAGCCAGCGCCGAGCCGAGGTACGACGGATCTCGAGCCGAGACGTTAGATCGGCGCACATGGCTCGAACCAACTCGAGCCGAACCAGCGTTAATGGAGTCTGCTCTTCTGAAAATGCTAACAGATCCCTCATCGCCAAGAGGTGGTTTTCCGTTAGTTCTTGGAGGTTTTTCGTTTGTCTTGGGCAGGTGCCCAGTTGTTGGCAGTTTTCCGCTGGATTCATGTGATACTTCTTGGGTTCTTTGAGGTTTACCGTTGGTTTTGGGCTGTTTACCGTTGGCTTCAAAACCGGGTCTCGTATTAGGGTTTGGATAGCGGATTTGAGAGTACCGTATTGGAGGCGGGTTTGCTCGATCTCTTTGAGTAGAAGTGAGCACTGAAAAGAGGCAACAGCGGTTTTGGAGAAGTAATCGCCGAGCAAACAGTGGGTTTTAGGGCGGTTTTTGGAGAGAGAAAGTATCTCAAAAGCGGTTTTCTGGGCAGGCTCTAACAGCTGTTCAGCAAACAGACGGTAAGAGGGTAGGCGGTTTCCGGCGGAAGTCGATGGTGTCAAAGCTGTTTTGGTGGTATCGTTGGACTTGACGGCGTTGACCCGGGCACAGAAAAGGCTGTAGGACTTTGTGCGGAAGGCGTTGGCATACTCCTCGTGGAGGTTCGGTGGTGATGATGGAGGCTCGTATTCAGCTTCGGGTCCTACAAAAAACACGTGGGAATTATGAGACGCGTTGCCTAGATTTTAGATTCCGAAAGCGATAAATGCAAGTCAGTGTCATGCGGTTTGTATAGAGCCGAGGCTCTAAACAATCAAAGTAAAGCTTACCCTCAAATAGTGAACAATCAAAGTAAAGCTTACCCTCAAATAGTATCGAAAAATGTGGTTTCAATATTGGATTCATCTTTGATTATAAAATTTAAAGCATAAAAATTTGTATAGATCGAACAAATATGTGAAAATTTGAAAATTTTGAAATTTGACGGTAAAAAAATGCATTGCAAGATGCAGTATTCTCAAAACTTAAAATCTATTTATTTTCTAATGTCCATACATCTTGAGGTCGTAAAATTTTTTAGGTTCGTCTTAATTTGATTGTTTCGAGCCTCACGCTTATAAAAACTTTTTCCTAATTTGTATGCTCATGTGGGTATAGTTAAAAGGTGGCCTTGTTGATGGGGCAAAAATTTAAATTGGCAAATGTGCTAACCACATTGGACCGTGGACCAATGCTTTGGCCAGTTTAATCTTGAGTAAAAATTGAAGTAGGTAAAAAAACTATTAAAAATTAGTATTTGATGAATTTTGGCTCCTTCGTCTAACCGGTTTTAATTGGTTTGACTGTTTAAATGAAGTGGGTGATTTTTTTTTTTAATATATTATATATTTTCAAATTTTTATTTAATTTTTTAAATATTTTTAAAATCAAATCAAAACCGATTTGATCGACCAACGAACTTGTTTTTGATCGTGCACGTACTGATTGGAATGGGAAACAAAATTAATAAATTGGTAATCATTTCGTTTCTCTAAACCTGGATCACCCACTTTATTAAGTATTGCTATGTTAGCACTAAGTGTCAGAGATAAGTCAAAGAATCTAATCAATCATGTAACTAGGGCGCGTAATGGCCCGGTCAGCCCAGTTCAAAAAAACTAGGGCGCTAAGGCGAAGACCAGTCCAGCCCTCTTTTTTTCTTTATTTAATTTTTTATTAATTTTATTTGCCATTCAGCTTGATCAAGGCCTAGATAAGGTTAGGATTAAGGGCCATCTCCAAGTCAGGGCAAGGGCTAGTCCACCCCAAGTCTACTTGTTGCCAGCCCTAATTGAATATGATCCAAATAGCTGATTCTAAACACGAATCAATGATTTTGTCATCATCTAACCCTAAGAAATAATAACAGTTTCTTTTTGAAGAAAACTTCAATACATCTCAAGACTTATTTAAAAAAAAATAAGTGCTATTTTAGGGTAATGGTTTTATGAAACAGTTGTATAGTAATATAATGCAACAATCTTCAAAACATCTTAGAACCATTTGTTTGATCCAAAATTTAAAATATACACTCTTTTCATTCTAATAAACAATCACAAAGGATAAAATTTTGAAAATACCACTTAGAGAGTATGTTTTTAGCCCAATTAACGTAGGCCATCCATTTTGATCAGATGCTTAGATCTAGGCCGTGTAAGGATTTTTTCTTCTTCAATTTTTTGGATGGCTTTATTATCATTAGATGAACAATGTTAAAAAAGAGAAAAAAAAAATTGAATTTGTAAAGGCTAAGATTTTGAAATTCACCAAATGAATGATCTAGATTGGTTGTTGGAGGGGATTCATTTTGACCATCTCTGGGATTCGAATTGATATTTTTTTTTCTTGAGATTGATTATTGAGATGAAAAGTGTGTGTGTGCAAAATTTTAGGTTATACAAATACTACTATCATAGTTTTCTAGAAGTATAGTTGCATTATATCATGATAAAACCATTCCATTAGATCATTGCCCGCTATCTTAATATTACAAGTCCAGATATTTAATGTCCATCAAAATGGGCAGTCCATATATAGTCATGGATCGGAATTTGAGTTGGTCCGTGGACTTTTAGACTCCAGTCTTGTATTTTCATTTATATTTAATATAAAACAGAGAAAAATATAGATAGCCACCAAACATATTTTCTATTCATGCCACCCCCTAATATTTTTTAAACCATACTACTAACCTCAATATAATTTATTTTTTATATAGATCTCTCAATGTTAAAAATAACTTTTTTAAGGACAAAAAATACACCCACATAAACCATGTCCCTGCCGATAATTCTCTCTCTCTCTCTCTCTCTCTCTCGATCTCGAGACTTTCAAAATTTTAAAGGGTTTTTCTCTCTCTAAAAACTTATAATTTAAGATAATTTGAAATTTGAGATAGTTTCTCTCTCTAAACATTTTAAAGTAGTTTTTATTTTTAAACATTTTGATATAGTCTCTCTCTAAAAATTAAAATTCGAGGTAACTTCTCTCTTTAAAAATTTCAAATATTTTATTTCTCTCTAAAATTTTAAATTTTGAATTTGAGAGAAAGAAACTCTCTTAAATGCATAGGGGATATTTTTTACTTTAAACATCTATTTTTTTACTTGAGGGTGGATATCTAAAAACCCAAAGGGAATATCTATAATTTCCCCATAAAATACAAACAAAGCAAGAGAGTTAGTGGTTAGAGAACCGCTTGTTTGACATTTACACCAGATGAACTGATTAGCAGTTTTGTCCCATATTACCGCATTCTACAACATAGTTTAGTCAAAAGACAGGTTATGGGTATTCAATATTCACATTATTTTAAGTCTCTTAAGTTTTTAACAATTGAAATGGTTTTTATCACCTCAGAAAATGTCTTGTTTCTCAACTTTGACATGGCTTTTCAACCTTACACCTATTAACTGTTTAAATATGGATATGGGGTGCTCTCTCTCTCTCTCTCTCTCTCTCTCTCTCACTCAGTGCTATTTTTTTGTTGTTATTATTTAAAGTTTCTTACTCTCTCTCTCGCTCTCTCTGTTTTTTTGTTGGATTATTTCTTACAGTCCATCTCCCATTATATTTGCAGGTTATAATTGTTAGTATTTTTGGGCTTTAAAAATAGGAAAAAGTTTATATAACGTTGCAACCTTAAAATGTAGAACTACATATGCACCTAAAAAATCCATTGAAAGATGTTATTTTATTGTTGAAAAATCTTCTAATTGATTATCTCATCGAGATGTATGAATATGAAAAAAAAAAAAGATTTTGAGTCTCAAAAATAGTGCATCTTACCACACATTATCTAAACCGTCCATTTTCAAGATTTTCATACGTTTATAGATCAACTTGATTTTAACTATTTTTGGAGTTTAAAATTTTATAATTAGATATAAATATAGATTTTGAAATAATTCTAAGAAATTTTTGCCTCAAAATTACATGTTATGATAAATTTTAGAGGTTCGCTTTAAGTTAATTATTTAAAGTTGCAACCTTATAGAAACCACACACTTAAAAATACAGTGTTGTATTTCACAATAGTATAGTTTCAAATGTGTTTTTACTTAGTTCTTAATAGTGGAGAGACAAAATGGTGGGTTTTAGTCCTTGAAGGATAGAGTAAAAAAAGAGTGTCATTTACATGAGAAGACTCATGCCTTGTGTTAATTGAACAAACGTGAGAATGTGGGTGCTTGTGTGGTGGAGGGCACTTGATAATGCATTTTGCACATCTACACTTCTATTTTGAACACCTGTTTACCAACTCTTCTCTATAATCTCTTACTGTCTTTTTCTTTCTATAATTCCTGCTCAGTTTTGTCTCTCTACTTTCATTTAATTCTGGTGGTCTTGTAGACTTGCCTATACTGTACAATAATGGCGAGTTCTTTATTGCAACATTCTTTATTCAGATATCCCAAGGATTGTTTGCCTAATAGACCTTTTTCTACACATTATATTTTTAACAGAAGGAGGTAAAATACAGTCTTAACAGCGCTTTTAACGTGACTGAAAACAAGATGATTCTTCTATATTTATTTACCTAAAACCTCCATAAGTACACCCTACAGCCCCCGGTTTCACCTAGGGGTAGCAATGGGTCGGGTTCAATTGGATCCAGACCTGGGTCCAGGTTTTGGAACCGGACCTGACTTAAAAGTTGGACTCATACCCATCCCGTCGGTCCAAAGTCTGGTCGGGTCCATTGTTAGCCTAATCATGAGTTTTTTTTTTTTCTATCGATAACCATATCACAATCACCTGTGATTAGATTTTCAAGCCGTCTGATATGTCGTTTAATAGATAAAGATGACTACGAGTTTTTATTGTATATGATCCTTAATATCCCCAAATGAATAGGGATTGAAGTATTTTATCTCCAACAGTTTATAGGTACAGGTTGAGTCTAGCCAGACCTGGACCCGGACCCGGACCTGAATAGCATTCAAGTCCAGGTTTTGAACCCAAACCCAACCCACCCGGGTCCAAATGTTGGACCCCTACCTGGACCCCTATCGGGTATACCCGGTGGGTCCCGGATCAGGTCGGGGTCCATTGCCACCCCTAGTTTCACCTATCCCAATTGCCTAACGATAATTTCACGCGTAACAAATTTTGAACATTGCCACCGGGTGCTCCCTCTCTTCTCTTTCGTAGAAAAGAAAGAAAGTAAATAATGAATCTAATTTACAAGCATTAAGAATATCATCGTTATCGTTTTAAAAACAAAATAACAAATTGAAACCATAAGAATATTAGATTGCATTACTACTATCAGGGAAGACACACCTCACGGCTAGCAATTCCTCCCTCTCTCTCTCTCTCTCTCTCTCTCTCTCTCTCTCTCTCGTCGTCGTACGTACGTACGTACGTACGTACGTACGTACGTACGGTA